CCCTTCCCTTTGAAATTCATCAGTCTGTTGCATGCCATTATCTCTTTAAAAGACCTATCTCCAAATATGGTCATATAATGAAGTACTGGGGGTTTGGAGTCAACATATGAATTTTAGAGGAGACACAATTCAGCCCATGATGACGACTTTTCATATATGAGGTTAAGAATGGTCAGATATTATCCTGGGCCCATTTCTAGGGATTTAGATGAGATGAAAAAAAGAGGAAAAAAAAAGTTCAGCAAATGTCCAAATCAGCACATCTTGGCCCTGGAGAATAATATCATATTTCAAAATAACCAGGAAGCCAGAGAAGTAGGTAGAAAAAAGAAAAACTTCATTTCACACTGTTTATTTAGATTTTGCTTTATTCCAGAAAGGACATGAGCAGAAGGGACTTCCAGATTAATCAGGACATAAAGGGCGAGACACAGGAGACAAAGGACCCTGTGCAGGCACCTTGCATACCTCTTCCTGGTGACCAGCATGCCCCCTGGGGGTGGGGGTGTGGAAGAGCAGTTAGGAAAGGCATTCAAGGCAGAGGGTGGTACTCTGGGGCCTTACCAAAATTAATGTGGTTTCCCACATTAAAGAGGCAACGTGCAGACTGGTGAAGAATGTTTTATGTTGCCATGGAGAATTATCACTAAAACAAGAGAAACTTGGATTGTCCATTAGAAAAAGCTGATTTCAGCATTCAATGATTAACAGACTGATTAAGCACCTATTATGTGCCATGCTGTATACTGATCACTGGAGGCTACACTGGTGGTGAGCAAGTTTTTGGTAACATTAGTAAACACACAAGTACAAAGCACGTGTATATTAACCCATATAACACATACCAAAATTTTTTTTCACAGTTGAGGAAACTGAGGCAAAGAGGTTATTTGTAACTTGCTCAAATCCACAGAGCAAGGAAGAACTGAAGCCAATATGTTAACTTAGGAAAATATGCTCCAAACTTCGTACTGGTAAAAACCACATGATTCTGCCTTAAGATATTTGAAAGTTAGACAAGGAAGTTATGAAAACTTTCTCTCTAGATATTTAGATAGGCTGGGATCTGTAATAAAAGTTTATCTAAAGATATAACTGAGCTTTCAGATTGATCCAGGTGGAAAGTAGAGGTGGGGGGAGAGGTGTTCAGAAAGGGGAGTCGAAAAGAGGCCAAACAGAAATTTCATCACTTCTAATTTTTGCCTGGTAATCTCTAATGAAAAACTACTGTGAAAATCAACAACTGAATGTATTTAATTTTAAGATGCAGCCTTCAGAGCACAGTCTTAATTATTTTTAGAAGTCCAGTTCCCTATCTTGAAAATCATGACAAAGGTGAACAAAAATGATGGTGTAGAGCATGCCCTTAGCTGCCCCAAACTGGCCTATAGCTGGAGTGAGGTGATTCTGGGCCTAGCTTTTTGAGCTGTGGGACTAGAAGACTGGGCTAGGCCAGAGTAGAGCCTAAAAACCTGCTTCTTAATTCTTTAATTAAGCTCTGGCTTCTTAATTCCTTGTTCTTTGTAATTTTTATTTGTCTCATACCACATACACCTACAGTTTCTCTACAATGAGTACTGTGAAACTTATTTAACATAAAGTGCTCGTGAACAAAAGCCAAGAACCTTTAATCCCATTTTAGGTTAATTGGGTAAACGACATCCCCTCGAGCTCCTCGCACAATCTCCCATTGTTCCAGGCTCAGAGTCCCGGCGCTCCAGAATAACTTTAAGTGAGTCAGCATCTTTTATAAAGCAGTGGTAGGCAGCCCGGCTTATAAAGTTAAACCCCTGGAAACCACGGAGCCTCTCTCTTGGGAAATGCCTTTTGTTTACTTATGTTTAGGGGGTACCAAGGTTCAGCCGCGTTGAAGGACCGAAGGTGGAAAAGGTCATTCCTCATTACAGAGGGGGCTGTCACAGTTAGGGCTCCACGTCGCAGCTCTGCGTTCAGACAGTCACCAACGCCCAGGGACCGCCGCCGTAGCGCCCGGTTTCAGCCGGGGGAAAGCTGCTCGCTCGCGTCCGCGCCCCAGGGAACACAGGAGCCGCGCGCCCTCCGCCAAGGACTCGCGCCCGCGGCCCGCC